GGCAGACTTGGGTTTTTGGAGAACCTGTCTTGACATTCAAAACGTTTTCCTTCCCGACCCCCCACCCCCGTTGACACATCTTGCCTGGTTTTGTATAGGTCTGCAGGAAGGAAGGCTGAAAAAGTGGACGAAGATTGTGACATAGTGGGACTTTGTGATTTATTTTTTTTCTTTTTTAAGTGGGGAGGAAGGGGAAGCTAGATGGACTATGAGAGACTTGATTTTGGTGCTAAAGTTCCCCAATTTATATGTGACATCTTTAAAACAACAACAACAACAGAAAAATGAGAGAAAAGCTAAACATGTGAGGGGTGAGCAGTTAATGGTATTCATTCCACGTACAATATCTGTGTAAAACGATTTCCTGTAGAAGTAGCTTTAATGGTTTTTGCTCTAGAATACCGTAGGTCTATCCTTAGAGCACTCACGCCATGCTTTTTTCCCTGGGTTTTAAACTTCATATAACTTACAGAAATTGGAGAGCAAAAATTTTGCTTGTCACTGCACATCAATATAAAAAAGCTTATTTAACTTATCAAAACGTATTTATTGCCAAACTATGCTTTTTTTTTGTTAATTTTGTTCATATTTATCGGGATGACAAATCCATAGAATATATTCTTTTATGTTAAATTATGATCTTCATATTAATCTTAAAATTTTGTGACGTGTCTTTCCTTTTTCCACAGTTTTAATATATTATTCTTCAACGACATTTTTTTGTAACTTTACACTTTTTTGGTTATTTTATTTTAAAAAAATGAAAAATTAATTTAAAAAAATGCAAAAAACTGTTGGATTATTTATTTTAGAAATTCCCCCTTTGTGTTGGACTGCAAATTGAGTTTCTTTCTCTTTAGGCCTTTCACAACTAGGACTCAGAATGTATGTCAAAGTTCTGTGACAGTACAGAAGGAAAACAACTTCTTTTTATGTATAGCTTCTAAAAGGGAAAAGAAAAAAAAAAAAAACCCTTTGACTTCCATGTGCCCATCTCAAAAAGACATTCCGATCAGATCACAGATTTGAGGCTCTGGATTCCAGGTGTGGAGTTTTCCAAGGTTAATGTAAACAGAACTGGCACACACACATTAAGATGAATGTAATTATTATTCCTCTTGCTGTTCACTACCGTCGCTTTCTATTTCTTTTTCTTTGTGTGAATTTATTTAAAAGAAAAAAAAACTTTTGTAACGACTATTTGCAGTTTAAAAATCAATAAACCCCAAGTTTTTTTCAAGAAACCGTGAGGGTGAAGTTGATTTTCTTGGCCTGTAGGTTTCTCTCTTGAATACCTTGTAGGTATTGGGGAGCTGGGGTTCATCCTTACAGAGCTTGGAGGGGATCAGTTGGATTTTTTTTTTTTTTGCAAAGGAATCTTTGTTTCCTGATGTATGACTTCATAGAAGTCTGCTCAGTATGTTCTTGGTTAGCTGGTGGGTGGCAAAGGGCCAGCTCTGCCCACCATACAGTCTTGGTTCTTCAGGGGAGCCAAGGCTCACGGGCTTCTGGCCTTCCCTGTCCAGCCTGTAGTTTTAATTCCCTTGAGTGATGTTAGGATTGCTGAAATGGTGAGGGGGAGACATAGCACATGGTATACCAGCAGGCCTGGATTTGAATGAGTTATTCAGGTGAATTCCAGGCTTATTTTTCCCACAGGAAATTGACCTGAAGCCCTAGCCTTGCCCCTGGGGTGGCTATGTTGAAGCATTGTAATCTTGGAGAACATCTGGAAGCATCCAGGGTGGTGAGGGGCTCAATCACAGGGGGCTGGGGTGGTTTCACCTGGGTTCAGAATGCTTCAGTATTTAGAAGGCTGTTAGGGGAAGTGGGTATAAACACTGGCTAGTACCTCTGGGGGAGCTCTGGTAGCATAGTGGCTAAAGCACTTGACTGCTAACCAGAAGGCTGGTGGTTCAAACCCACCAGCCACTCGGAAGGAAGGTTGGGCAATCCTACTTCCGTAGTGATACTGCCTCGGAAACCCAAGGAGGGGTCACTATGAGTCGGGGCTGACTCGATGGCAAACAACAACAGTAGCTCTGGTAGTGCAGTGCCTAAGGCATTTGCCTGCTAACTAGAAGGTTGGTGGTTCAAACCCACTAGCTACTCTGTAGCAGGAAGTTGGGGCAATCTATTTCTGTAAATATTTACTGCCTTAGAAACCCAATGGGGGTTGCTATGACTCCATGGCAGTGAGTTTGGTTTTGGTTGAGTAGTTCCCACCATCTTACTCCTGGTTACATCCTTGATCTCATGCAGAATAGGTAGGAACTAGGAGCTCCCCAGCCAAGGCCAGAGACCACTTACTGAGGATGCATCATCTACTTTAGGGGTTGTATCTTCTATAATTTCCTGAGTCTAGTTCCCCTGATACTTGGTGGGGAGGTAGAGATATTGTTATTTGGGGTTTGGTGGTCTTGTGCTCCATGTACTCAGGAAGTTTTTTGGGGTAAGCTGTATTTTCACCCCTGCCTGTTTCCTTGCCTCCACCACGCCTCTCCCAAGGGCAGATGGGTCTGCAGCAGACATCAGTCAGGCCAGCACTGTCCTTGAGGCTGGGGGAGACCTACCTAGACTCCAAGGATTCTTACATCCCTGGCTAGCCTATTGTGACACAGGGGTGTGAATTCCAAAATAGGTACCATTATCTGTTGAAAGGTAATAAAAGGCTGGTCTCTGACTGAAAACAAAAAAGATGTATGTCATTTGATCATTCACCTTGAGCTCATTCCCTGCAGGTGAAGATGAACACATGGCAGAAATTGCTCTAATTCTCCCACTCATGGTGATATTGTAGGTTCCAGAAGGGGCTAAGCACACCCACAGCTCATTACTGGAGTCAGCCCCTTGGGTTAGATAACAAAGTAGAGGCCAGGAAGCCCTGGAGAGTGAGGGCTGAGCTGTCAGGGCAAGGAGAGGCTCCCTATCACCTGCATCCAAATCTGAACCCTGTATCCCACCCCAAGAAACCACAGGCAGCTCATACAGGCTGGGGCTTGGGCTGTGTAGGCCCATAGGTGGCAGCCACAAGAGCCTGATTTCCTACCATCTAGATCTTAAAGGAGGAGCTCTGGTAGCGTAGTGCCTAAGGCATCTGACTGCTAATCAGAAGGCTGGAGGTTCAAACCCACCAGCCACTCCTCGGAAGGAAGGTTGGGCAATCCTACTTCCGTAGTGATACTGCCTCGGAAACCCAAGGAGGGGTCGCTATGAGTCAGGGCTGACTCGATGGCACATAACAACAACAACAATAACAGATCTTAAAGGAGGAGCTCTGGTAGTGTAGTGCCTAAGGCATCTGACTGCTAATCAGAAGGCTGGAGGTTCAAACCCACCAGCCACTCCTCGAAAGGAAGGATGGGCAGTCTACTTTCATAATGATACTGCCTTGCAAAACCAAGGAGGGGTTGCTATGAGTCGGGTCCGACTTGATGGCACAAAATAACAACACAACAACCGATCTTAAAGGTAGGGGCGATAAGCACAAAGCTACTGAGAAAGGAAGCAGAATCTTTTCAGGCCCATTATTTTTCCATTGGGAGATGATGCAGCCTCAGTAGTCCTATGCCCTAGGCTGGCAAGTACCAAGGAGGTGTAAGCCCAGGGCTGGTAGGCGGCCTCCTTCACTGACCTCCTCTGCAACTGGGAAGGACAGGAGCCATGCAGAGAGAGCTGGAGATAAGGCCTACCCAAAGGGAAGTCAGAGCAGGAAATGTTGAGTCTTTCTTTGTCAGTTTCCTGGGGCACAAGGCCCTACTCCATGCCTTGGACACTGGGCCATCTCTGGTGTGGGGACCTGGAGAAGGTCTGCCCTAGTGGACAGGGCCTTTGTAGTTGCTGGCCCTACAGACCTGCAACCTTTGGCTGAAGGTCTTCCTTGGAACAGCTTAAACTTGAACTCTTTGGCTCATGAGTGATGACTCACTTTCCTGAGTTGGAAGGATCCATGCAGAAGGATAGTCAGGGGCCTGCTGTACCTCAGTGGCACTCTGGTAGAAAGGAGAGCCTGGAAGGGCCAAAAGAGAATGGGGGCCAGACTTAAGATGTGTTTTGCAACCAAGTGGATGATGAAGCTCTGGTTATCAAAGGGGCAGAGAGAGTCACTGCGGTAGAAGGTTTCCATGGCATGGAGGAAGGAATGTGCGAGCCCTTCAGCCTGGCTTCAGATCTCAGCTCCCTCTCTCACCAGCTTGTGTATCTTGGACAAATGATTCAAATTTGGATTTTTCATCTGTATCTCTAGAGGCTACTGTGAAATCACGTGAGAGCCATTAGTAATGACGGTTCTTTGTAAGTGCCAGGTAGTCTTCCAAGAGCATCAATGAATGCTCAGAATGACCCCAGGAAGGAAGTGTCATTACTGTCCCCATTTTACATATGGAGAAATTGGGGTG